TGCTCGGAAAAAAAACCAACTTATCAAAGAGCAACGGAGATAACTCTCCTCAGATTCCTCCAAGACCTCCACAACATAATCCATTTAGTGGTGAGTATTACGAATTTCCAATTATTCTTGTATATCCATTTATTTTTGAAATGGAAGTTTTATACTATTGTGTTTATTCTTTTTAATTCAGAGCATAATCTCTCCAAAGGTATTCCTGATGACGCACGAGAACGCTACGAGGAAGTCTTTGAAGCAAAAAAGAGTAGCGATGGCTATATTGATGGTAAATTTTTTTTTATTAAAGTTCTAATTTCAAGACTAATACTAATAATAACATTAATTTCACAGGGGATGTTGTGAAAAACATTTATATCAAAAGCAGACTGGATAGTAAAACACTGCATAAGATTTGGTATTTAATTTTTTTTCTTTTTGATAATTATTACTATTATTCTCTTTTCTCATCATTGATGTTATCTAGGAATCTTGTGGATACCGGCAAGAACGGTAGACTTACAAAGGAAGAATTCAGTGTTGGCATGTTTTTAATAGATGAAAGATTGAAAGGAAATCCTGTTCCTGACATGTTACCTCGAGGGTTACTTTTATGATTGGTATGCTTGAATGCAGATGTTGGTTAGATATTTAATTTTTGGACATTTTAGCATGAGATATTATTATTATTTATATTTTTCCTCAATCTAATATACTTGGAGGTTTATCTTCAAATCAGCTGTTAAAGAAATGTACTAATAAATTTCTGATACTGTAAAACGATCATTCGATTTTTTAGTGGCATATTTAGGGTAGATATTCACGCACTCGGTAGCTATTTTATTAAGGTTAAATCGTTAAAATGAATTTCTTCTAACTTCATATGAATTGTTTATTATAATGAAACGAAAATAATAAAGTTCAACTCTATTATAAATATATTACAAAAAAAAAGGGGGAGGGGAAGAAACTAAAGAAGAATACAAGAATATTGTGTCTAGAGTGCAGGCAATTATTTATGATTTATGATTATGACAATGGCATTACGATAGAAACAGAGATGACCATTCTTTATCGGGAAGATAAGAAAAAAGTCTTGTATATTTATATCTAGTGTAGAAGCTCTATTTAAATTACTACTTTACTTGCGATGCATTGTTCACTTCTTAGTTTGGCGGCATTTCTTTCGAAACTTGCTTGTTTGCAACTCGTCAGATTGACACATGCATGTGCTTCGATCAGGCGATGTCTCGCACAGAAATCCAATTCACAATATCGACAATGTCCAACGATTTTCGCCGCCTTATCATTACACTCACCGAATTTACACTTCTTTACCTTCGCACCACCACGTAACCTCAAGACCAAATGCAATGTTGATTCCTTTTGGATATTGTAATCGCTCAGAGTTCGACCATCTTCCAATTGTTTTCCTGCGAAAATCAAACGTTGCTGGTCTGGGGGGATTCCTTCCTTATCTTGAATTTTCGCCTTTACGTTATCAATGGTGTCGGAGGATTCAACTTCAAGTGTTATGGTTTTACCGGTAAGTGTTTTCACGAATATCTGCATACCACCACGAAGACGAAGAACCAAGTGCAGCGTTGATTCTTTTTGGATGTTATAATCGGATAGGGTTCTTCCGTCTTCAAGTTGCTTACCCGCAAAGATTAAACGTTGCTGGTCTGGTGGGATACCTTCTTTATCTTGGATTTTAGCTTTAACGTTATCGATTGTGTCTGAAGATTCAACTTCAAGAGTGATCGTTTTTCCGGTGAGTGTTTTCACGAAAATTTGCATGGTGAAATATTAACTACTTGTATGATGATGATAATAAAAAAGTGGTGTTGTTTGCTGTTGTTGGTTTTTTTTTATGAGCGTTGTATATATTCTAACACGAGAGATTCGACGACTTACAAGAGGAAAAAGATAACAAGTATGTATTCAGCAGATGTGCGACTAGAAGGCAGAGAATAATAATAATAATAAAGTCTTTCTGAACAACAAAACGTTTCTGGAGAAGTTTAACCACCGACCCAAGAGATTATTTATATTAAATTGAGGAGTAAGAGAACACCAATTATATTTGCTATAATGATATAATATGTTGTTATATTAGTTTTCTATTATTATTATTTTATTTGTGTGGCCATCATAGTATATTATATTACGTTATGTTATTTATATTATTACATTATGGTATTTGATATTCTATTTTACAGTTAAACAAGAAAAATATATTTGGCATTAACTGGGAAATAGGATATGAGTGATATATATGAGCAACAGCAGCAGCAACAGCGAAACAAAAGCGCCAGATTTAGGGGTGAGGAGCGAGAGAGAATTACGTACTTTCTCTTATTCTTGCTGATTACACAATCTGCTGTGGATAACTGTTTGGAAGCCGATTCCCGGATTATATATGTAAAGTTAGTAATGTATGTAATCGTGTGATAAATCGTTTTATAAAAAAAAAAATTGATGTTGTGGAGGTCTTGGAGGAATCTGAGGAGAGTTATCTCCGTTGCTCTTTGATAAGTTGGTTTTTTTTCCGAGCA